CGCTGCACTGGAAATTAAACTAATGAAGGGTGTGGCCACACACTAAAGAACCCTGAACATACACACACACACACACACACACACACACACACACACACGCAGAGGCATGCCCCAATTCTTATTTTAAGTGGGTAAGAAAAACCTTGTTTCATTCTAGTATAGTGTCCAGGTAAAGAACATGGTCTCTGGAACTGGTTTGGCTCAGTGGCTAAAGCATTGGCCTGCAGACTGAAATGTCCCAGGTTCGAATCCGGTCAAGGGTATGTACCTTGGTTGCAGGCACATCCCCAGTAGGGGGTGTGCAGGAGGCAGCTGATAGATGTTTCTCTCTCATCGATGTTTCTAACACTCTATCCCTCTCCCTTCCTCTGTAAAAAGTCAATAAAATACTTTTTTTTTAAAAAAAGGATAAAAAAGAGCATGGTCTCTGGAGTTAGATTAGACTACCTGGGCTTGGATCTTTATGTACCTCTTACCAGTTGTGTGATTTGGGAGCAAGTTAATTTATATTCTCTACTAGTGGCCCAGTACATGAAATTCTGCACATTAAAAGGGAATTAGAGGAAATATTTTAATATTGCTATCTGCCCTATAATACAAGTGTCAGAGATGAAAGAAAATTAGTAAAATGTATATGAAAAATCTCCCTCCTGTCAGAGTCTAGGGCACACCACAGGACCCAGAGTCAAGTCCCCACACACATGCATGCACCTTGAAATCACAGGAGACCCAGACCCAACAGGCCCCACCCCCATCAAGCCCCACAGGGGAGGGGATGCAGCCTCAGGTCCCCCGGCCCCAATGCAGGGAAGAAGGGGTGGGGGCGAAGCCTCAGCTCTCCCAGCCAGGCCTCAGGTCCCTGCCCCAGGGCAAGGGCACAAGAGTATGACGACCATTTCCATATTAGCTCTTTATTATATAGGACTAGAGGCCCAGTGCAAGAAATTGTGCACACGGGGGCAGCCTGCACCCTCTCCAATCAGGGACCCTCAAGAGATAACTGGCAGTTGTACATCCCTCTTACAATCCAGGATCACTCCTAACTGCTCACCTGCCTGCCAGCCTGGTCACCCCCAACTGCCCCCACACCTCCCTCCACCCCCGCTGGCTGGGTCACTCCAGGTAGCCTGCTGTTCAGTCGTTTGGTCATCCCTCACTTAACCCCCCTGCCACCGGTGTTGCCTCACACAGCCCATGTTCGGTAGTCCATTCATTTGTTTCGGTCATGATGGCCCCTGGCTTTTTATATATCAGGATGTCTTACAGACAGTTTCCCTGTCTGTAAAAATGGGAATGACTGATAAGAGTACCGAGCTCATAGGGTAATTGCCCTCATGGAAGGTATAGTCCTCTTCCCTAACCCGCTTAAACCATGACCAGTTCAATGCATTCTCTGTATCTGAAGGACCAGACCTTTCAAGGGCTGTGAGGAGACATAAGAAATATATTAGTTGATACCAGCCCAAAGAAGATACTAGTGAGTCCTAAGAAAATGTCTTCTAACAAAATTAAAAATCAGGCCATGGAGGGGGGACTTTCAATCTGAATAATCAAGTTCCAAGGAAGACAAGTAAGTGAGGCCGCTGTTGTAATGTACATGACCTTTGCCCTATGCAGTCTCTGTTCATTTTCTTTTTTGAAGCTAACATTTATTAATTTCATATGGACTACATAATTAATCTTTTTTTAAAATATATTTTATTGACTTTTTACAGAGAGGAAGGAAGAGGGATAGAGAGTTAGAAACATCGATGAGAGAGAAACATCAATCTGCTGCCTCCTGCACACCCTCTATTGGGGATGTGCCCACAACCAAGGTACATGCCCTTGACTGGAATCGAACCTGGGACTCTTCAGCCTGCAGGCCAATGCTCTATCCACTCTATCAAATCGGTTTTGGCTACATAATTAATCTTTAAACAACCTCCCCAATTTGCAGATGAGGAAAAACTGAGGCATAGCAGTTAAGTAACTTATCAGATGTAATAAAATTAGTAAGTAGCAGAGATAAAAATTTAACTAAATTTTTCATACTCGAGCCTATAAATTTCAAAGTCGAGGAAGATAACCCAGCCAATTTGGCTGCGGATAGACAGAATGTGGCCTACGGACCAAAAGGTCTGGGGTTCGATTTTAGCCACAATCACGTACCTTGGTAGCAGGCTTCTCCCTGGCCTGGCCCCTGGTTGGAGCTCGTGCCAGAGGAAACCAATGGATGTGTTTCTCTCACATGGGTGTTTCTCTCTGTCTTTCCCTCTATTTCCTACTCTCCCTAAAAGTCAATGGAAAAATATCTTCGGGTGAGGAAGAGAAATTGGGCCAGGTTATATGTGCATGCCCTTCCCCTCACACAGTTCCCTAAGCCACAGGACAGAGAAGCTATCAGATGCCATGATGATTACTTTATTCCTGGAATTCTCAGATATTCTGTGGGTAAAGGATTCTATAGTTCTGCACATCTGACTGTGGACCTCTAAAAGGAAGCCCCAAAATGAGAACCAGAAGCTGGAGGCAGGGTTGATTGGCATTATTGTTTGTGAACCAAGAGGCCCTCTAGACCAGTAAGATTGTGCCGTCTATTAAAGTAGGGACTGAGCCGAAACCGGTTTGGCTCAATGGATAGAGCGTCGGTCTGTGGACTGAAAGGTCCCAGGTTCGATTTTGGTCAAGGGCATGTACATTGGTTGCGGGCACATCCCCAGTAGAGGGTGTGCAGGAGGCAGCTGGTTAATGTTTCTCTCTCATTGACGTTTCTAGCTCTCTATCCCTCTCCTTTCCTCTCTGTGGAAAATCAATAAAATATATTTTAAAAAATAAAAAATAAAGTAGGGACTGAGCCCTAAAAATTTTTCCAGTGTCAGTTGGTGTAGCATATTACTAGGCACATTACACTCAACAGAAACTTGTGGTTTCAGGAAGGCAGTGGCTCCATTGCAGAAGGTCCCTGAGGATGATACAGGGAGAGGTTGATTTTGGAGAATGAGGTCTGATCAGAACCCCGGGGTGACATGAAGGTTCCCTCTGAAGAAGGCATCTCCTTCTCCCTGGCAAAACAGATGGCAGTTCCTAAGCCCCTGCTTTCCTCCTGTGCTCAAGACAGGATGGTGCCAAAACCGGTTTGGCTCAATGATAGAGCATCGGCTTGGGGACTGAAAGGTCCTGGGTTCGATTCTGGTCAAGGGCATGTACCTTGGTTGGGTATATCCCCAGTAGGGGGTGTGCAAGAGGCAGCTGATTGATGACTTTCTCTCATCGATGTTTCTAACTCTCTCTCTCCCTTCCTCTCTGTACAAAATCAATTTTATATATATATATATATATATATATATATATATATATATATATATATATATATATATATATGACAGGGTGGTGAAGGGTCCCCTGGCGTGAAGGTCCCAGAATTCAGAAGTAGTGCTTTTTATCCACTGATCTCACCCTGAGGAATGGAAAGGCTCCCGTAAATTATTTCCTCCATTGACACTCACACCCTCCTCCCCTAAGTCCTTTCTGTTTTGTTGGCTAATTCCCTCTGGTCTTTAGTTTTGCATCTGTTTGGAGTTGTTTCTGTATCTATTTCATTAGACAGGAAAGAAAGGGAGAACTCCAAGTAGGCCAAAGGGATTAGAAAAACGATGCCCATCTCTCAGATGCCCACATGCAGTGAGCCCCTTGATCCTCATCCCAATCTTCCTGGCACTGTCCCCAGACTGAGACCCTGGTTGAAATAGCACTCCCTCCAGCTGGAGCAACCACAGAGGCCCAGGATAACTGCCAGGGCTCCCAAGATGGCCTGAGGGCCACCAACACCAACTATTGGGGAGCACGCTGTCATCCCCGTGGAGGTACTGGAGAAGTTGGGAGGGGACTAGCTGGGGGGAGAAGAAGGCAGAGATGAGCTCAGGGCCCCCAGAGAATGGAGTCTTTGTGTGGGCAGACAGATGAGGGACAAGGGGGCGATTGTGTGGGAGGGCCGGAAGTGCCACACAAACTGGCATCACCACAGCCAGCACCGGATTCACCCCTCTCCTGCCCTGAGAACTCCCTGTGCCTCAAGGGACCGGTTGCAGACCTGGTTGGGGAAAGCCAGGTGTACCTGAAGGCTGCAAGAGATGGAAAGGCGGAAGGGAGGATGTACAGCCAGGGGAAAAGGAGAGGTATCCCCTACCGTTATCCCAGACCCAGAAAACAGGAAGCAGAAGGGGGAAAAAAAAAAAAACAGAAGCAGCTTTTACTATATTTACATCCAACAAAACTTCGCAAGGAACCATCCTTATTGCACAGTCAGGGCCCTGGGCGGGTGATGCGTCCCCCAGGGGGAGTGGACAAGGAGGATTAGGGCTTAGAGGGGGCACCCATCCTTCCTGAGGAGACCGTGGGACTCCTCCAGTTGCCGCCTCTTGAAATTTAAGGCGCTACAAAGCACTGGACCGCGGGACCCCACTCCCCTTCTCTTTTTCACCGTCCATAGTAACTTCGTACGCAGGGGGGGCTGTGGCTCCAGAATAAATAACTTAAAATAAAATACAAATTCTAAGGTAGAAAGGCATGGAGAGCCTTGGACTCCTTCAGCAATTGCAGCGAAGAGGGACCCTCCTTGATGGGGAATGATAGTCCTCTCGCCCACTCAGCGGCTCTGTATCTTTCCAGTTGTTTTTTAAAACAAAAACTTATAAAATGACCAGGGGAGTGCAGACCCGTGGGTAACTGGAGGGGGAGGTCCTAGCATAGGATGGGGAGGGACGGAGCTGTGCCAAATGTCCCCAGGCCTCCTCCAGGGTCCGCATGAGCACACGGAGCAGGTTGGAGACAGGGAGCTGTGCCGTTTGGTAACCCTGGGTCCCTCTTCCCGCTGTCCCCACGTGGGGCCTGTGGCTGGGCACGTCTCCTGGCCCGTTTCCCAACTCCTCCGTGAAAGGAACAGGGAAACAGAATGGTCTCTGGAATCCTTTCTCCTTCACCTCCCCACTCCGGGCTGGAGCGGGGAAGCTCGAGGGTCGCTAGCATTCCAGAAGTGCTCCAAAATACTTCCGGCAGTCAATGGCCTTCGGGGTGGGCATCTGTGCTCGCCGCTGCCTCAGCTCTTCCTTGCCCATGCTGCTGGCCAGCTTGTTAAAGGCAGACTTGTACCTCTTGTCGAAGTTCACTAGGGAAGAGGTGGAAGGCAGGTCAATAGGTAAGGAGTCCAACCCCCCACACACCAGGCCCCCAGATCCCTAAACCCTTCAGGCCCGCTGCCCACACTCTCACCTATTTTCACATGGTCCTTGCCCAAAGCAGCCATTGTCAGGAATAAGATCTCGCGGTAGATGCCCCTGAAGTGGAGGCAGAAGGGCATGGTGTGAGAGAAAGGGGACACTGAGACTGGTCCAGGCCAGCAAACGCCCAGGTGGGAGCCCCCATACCTCTGTAGGTGCAGGCCTGTGGGAGGGGGCCCTAACGTTTCCAGCAGGAGCCTTATCGCCTTGTGCACCTCATCGTGACCAAAATGGCACAGCACCGACTCCAGCAAATCCAGGCTCAGGGACGCAGGTACTGGGCCTGGCCACGCCACCCGCTGGGGGATCTGGCCTGGGTGAAAGGAAGGAAGGTAACCAGGATGACTGAGTCCTCTGGGTGTGGGACCCACCCCTCCCCGCCCTAGGCCAAACACCAGACTCACTGTGGACTCTCCAGAGCACGTAGAGAGGGGGGCAGCTGTTGGGGTCAGGGGTCAGAACATCCCACAGCAGCCGCACCTGCACCGATGCCGGGTCAGGCACTAGCCACGGAGACGGGGCCTGCGGGAGGCCAAGAAAAAGGAGACAGTGAGGCTCACAGAGGATAGGGTGTGGACAGACGACGCTCCAAGACGCACAGGGACGTTGCAGGACGCAGCCAAAGAGGAGAGGGAAAGGTGCTCCCTCCCCGGGGGAACATAGGCTCTCTGAGAGTCAGGACTTTGTTCCGTGATCTGCTGTGTTCCCTGTGCCTAAACTCTGTGCCTGTGCTCAATACACATCGGTAAAATGAGCAGACAAACATGAATGAGTCAGCTTGGGCATTAAACAAGGCGTCTCACAACAGCCCTGGGTGGGGGTGGGGGGTGGGCCGGCGGGGAACACTCATGCCATCTTATAGATGAGAAAACCCAGGCTCAGCAGTGAAGGGAAAGGGTGAGACGTAAGACCAAGTTCGCCCGACTCCAAAGCATCTGCTCTTTCTACAGAACGAAGGACACAGGGGACTGAGACAGAGAGCCGAGAGCTGCAGCAGACACTCAGGAACAGGGAACCCCCTGGGGGCACTGACCTGGGGGGGCGGGGGGCCACTGCAGGAGGCAAGCACCAGGCATGGCAAAATGCTGGGCAGGCGCAGCCGCTGGAAATACCACAGGAGGTTCCAGAAGATGATGGGGTGGGCAGCCGGCAGCTCAGGCAGCGCCAGCACCTCACTGCCCTCGTTCTCCACCAGCGACTCCAGCTCCTTGCGCAGCACCAGGGGGCTCAGGTAGGCCCACGCCCCACCCTCGACTCGCTGGGAGGCACCCTGCTGGGCACACACGAGGAGAGCAGGGGTGGGCATGTGCCATGCCTCCATCCTCAGAGCCGTGCTTCCACATGCCCAACAGCTTCCGGGAGCCCCCTTGGCCTCCATGCCCATCTCTGGACAGAATCACTGCCCCCCCCCCCACACACACACACACATACACAGGGCAACACACACCCATTCCTCGCGCCCCTCTGGCCCAGCCCTTACCCCCACGTGCCCGTTGCAGAGCTGGGGCTCATCCAGGGCAAGGCAGAGCCTGCGGTCACTGAGCACAGGGCCGGGGCCCCCTGGCACAGGAGCGTCTTTGCTGCCACCAGCACCAGCAGGGGCGGGCTTGGGGCTGGGAGCGCTGCAGGGGCAGAGCAGGAGGGTTCAGGGCGTGGGCCTCCACCTCCCTCTCCCACCAGAAGCACCTGCCCCGCTTCAGGCACCTGGGCCGGGAGTCCACAGTCTGGACGCTGAGCAGGGGTACAAAGGGGCACGCGCAGAAGGGGCAGGTTGTGTTGAGGTTGGAGTCGTCCGGGGCCCAGCCGGCCATGATCTCCTCGTCGTACACCAGCGAGTCACAGGCGCGGCACAGGGAGCAGGTGGACAGCAGGATCTGCAGGCGAGAAGGCCCCAGGAAACAGGCCCTGCTTGGCCTCCCGCTCCTTCCCCTGTCCTCACCCCCCAACCCTCACCTCCAAAGCCCAGCCCAGCCTCCGCCTCCTGCCTCCTCCTCCCAGCCCCTGCCCTGACACAGTGAGTGGGGGAGTATGGGGTGGGGGGTGGGGGGGTTCCAGCTCATCCGTGTGGGAGGTTATCCTCACTTCCAGGGAAGGTGGCTGGGAGGTCCCGGGGGTCTCAGTGAGGCGCTCTGAGGAATGGCGAAGGCTCAGGCTGCTGACAGAAGTTTCTGAGAGGTCCCACTCACTGCCCAGAGAGGCTGAGCTCTACCACACACACACACACACACACACACACACACACACACACACACAAGAAAGCACGGTCAGCCGGCCCAGGCCCCTCTCCACCCAGGATGCTGACTGCCACCACCCCTCGGGGGTCCTCTCGGGTTCCCTCCCCACCAGCCTCTGGGCGCTTTCGTGTCCGGGCCTCCCCCTTGCTGGCTACCTCGGAAGCAGTGGATCCGGGGCGCTCCCGGGGGTGCAGAAGGCCGTCCATGGGGCTGCGGTGGGCTGGGGGAGGCAGGTCAGAGGGCAGCTCAGGCGGGGGAATGCGAGAGACGGAGGAGCGGCGGCGGGAAGGAGTGAGCAGCTGCTGGAGGCGGGCACCCAGCCCTCGCCGGGGGGTGCTGCTCTCATCCCGGTGCCCACCAGCCTTGGGCACGCGCGCACTCAGCCCTTCCACGACGTCCGCGGACTGGGTGCTCAGGGCCGAGCCCGAGTCCCCGGGGCTGCCTCCGGCTGCCAGCTCCTCCCCAGTCAGGCTCAGGTCTGAGAGGCTTCCATCGTGCCAGGGCACAGGTGATGCCCGGGACTCCAGCACCCCCAAGGCCTCCATCACTGCAGGGCAGAGAAGAGTCAGGGAAGACGAGGCCCAGCCCCTCCTCCGGAGGCTGAGTAAACACAGTTTCTGGCTGCACACACTCTGGCACCACCACCCCTATCATGACGGCATTCTGGGCGAGATTCCCTGAGTCTGCAGTCCCCACCGCGGAGGGCCACCCCTCCATCCTGGCCCTGGTCTTCCTCTCTCTCTCTCTCTCTCGCTGGCAAGTGGTTCGGAAAGCTGGCGGGGGTGTCCGTCAGTCCAGGGCACTCACTGTGGGCCACGCCAGCCTCCACGGTGGGCTGTGCCTCTCGGGCGCTGCCCAGGCTGCCACTCTTCAGCAGGCGCCCCTTGGGCGAGGCCGGGTCCCTCAGGCTTCGTCCAGCCCAAGTCGTCTGGCGCTGAAGCGGGCGGGAAGGGGAGGGCCGCTCCGGGCAGGGCTCTGTGAGAGACAGGGAGGGCTGACAGGGAGCCAGGTCAACACCCAGCCCTCTGTTCCAAAACAGAACTCCTTGCACGGACCTGGGTTTGGAAGGTTCTTTGCAGAACTTTATCTCCTTTGTTACCGGCCGAGTGTCGTCTATCCACCCCCAGAACACCCAGTGCCAAACAACAGGCCAGTCCCAGCCCTCCATGCCAGTCCCAGCCCCAAGCCGGTGTCTCCAACCCCTTCCTACCTGTCTGCGAGCTGCCCGCCTCTTGTGCTGCTGCCTGCTGCTGCTGCTGCTGCTGCTGCTGCTGCCACCGCTCCTTCAGGGGCTGGCGGAACTGGGCAGCCCCCAGGACAAGGTTCCGAAGCTTGGCCCAGCGCAGGCGCCCACCGGGTGTACCAGATGGCCACTTGCTCTCCAGCACAGCCTGCCAAGCACGGTGCCCATCAAGATGGCCTACTTTCACCCTCGGATCCCAGCCCGACACCGCCTGCCTGTCCTGGAGCCCAAGGCCCACCTTCCCCTCCAGGCATGCCCCCGCCCGGGACTGTTCTGCCGGTGGCTCAGCCAGGAGAGGCAGGTGGCAGCGGCCACTACTGACAGGGAGGTAGCAGGGGAAGCCAGAAGCAGGGAGACCATTTATGTCCAGACTCTGTTACTTCTATGGCTTTGGGAAAAAAAAATCACGTTTTGGTCTTGAGTTTTCTCATCTTAAACAACAGGAGCCAGCCCTAACCGGTTTGGCTCAATGGATAGAGTGTCGGCCTGCGGACTGAAAGGTTCAAGGTTCGATTCCGGTCAAGGGCATGTACCTTGGTTGCAGGCACATCCCCAATTGGGGAAAGGGGGGAGGTGCAGGAGGCAGCTGATAGATGTTTCTCTCTCATCGATGTTTCTGACTCTCTATCCCTATCCCTCCCTCTCTGTAAAAAAAATCAATAAAATATATATTTAAAAGAATAAAAATAAAACAGGAGGCAGTTTAGTGTCTTGGTCAAGGGCCTGAATTCAGGAGACATCAATATGCTTGTGTGCATATCCCTCTTCCCTAACGTGCTCACTGTGGGACCCTGGACAAGTTACTAAACTCTGCAACCTCACCGCCGGGTCCGTAAGATGGCAATAATAATCCTTCCACCTCTTAGGGACGGTGGTGAAGATAAAACGATGTAAGTGTGTCCTGGCACACCGGCCAACACTCAGCTTTAATTGGGAGGTAGCAGCGCCTGCCTACCCTTGTCAGGGCTGTTGTGAATATCATGGCCTCGCTGACGAGGCGACGAGGCTGCAGAGCTAGTAACCTGTCCAGGGTCCCGCCGTCCCGAGCATGCGAAAACCCAGCATCGGCGCTGAGACAGGAGCCCATGGATAGCCATGCTTACAGGACCTGGCTGGATGGTATGGGCCCAACCTCCGAGGAGAGGGGGGAAGGAGCGGGTGCCAGGGAGCAGCCTCCTCCCCACGCACACACCTGGCACCTGCCGCTGCCCGCCGCAGCCCCCCGTCTGGTACCTTGTTGTAGTAGCCGTAAGTGATGGTGTTGGGCACGATGCCCGCCTGCCGCATCTCCAGCAGGACCCGCACGGACAGCACGGGCTGCCCGTAGTGCGAGCACAGCTGCATCAGCACCCGGTAACACACCTGGGCCAGGGGAGGCACCGGGTGAGGGGACTCCCTCCTAACCCAGACCCTAAAGCCTCAGCAAGCACCTCTCCCAGCCTCTCCCGTTCTCACAGCCTCCCCTGGCCCCTGGCAGCTCCTGCAGCCGCCTGAGCGCTACCCACTGTTCCAGCCGACCCGCCCCCTCCAGCCCTGCTGCTGTTCCTGGCCAGGCTCATTCATCCAGTGAATCTTACCAACCACCTGGCGACTCCGGGGCATGTGCCAATGCCCCCCCCCTCTGCCTTCCCGTGAGGTTTCCGGTGAATCGCCCTCTCATAGCACCAGGACTGCACAAGCACACCGGGGACGGGGCGTGGGTACCCACCTCATCGGGCAGCACCACCTTGTGGTTCTCCATCTGGCGCAGCACGTGGTACGCCGTGTGCAGGGCCTGCACCCGGGAGGGTGCTGAGCGCACATAGGCGGGCAGGCACAGGAACCAGAGCCCATAGCAGTGCCCCAGCAGGCACCGAGCCCACAGCTCAGGCGCCGCCGCGGCCTTCTGCGCCATCCGCTGCGCCACCTTCATCTCCTAGATGGGGTAGGGGGCGATGACAGGGCAGGGCAGGCTTAACATGCCGTGGGAGAAGCAGCCCCTTCCCTGAGGATAGGGGCTGTGTGTGGAGGAGGCAGGGGGGTTGCTGCACACACAGGCTTCAGCCCCAGAGCCCGCGGGTCCCCAGAGCGCTCAGAAGATGGAGACAATGACGATGGCAATGGCAACAATACCAAAGGTCTTCTGAGCCAGGAACACGGAACCTTCCTAACAACCTTACGGGATCGGTACTATCACGTGCGTTCGGCAGATGAAGAAGCTGAAGAGCAATAGCCCGTGGCTGAGCCCCGGCCTCCGAGGGGCGCCTGCTGGTTACCTGTTTGGTGCGGCGAGGAGCAGGACTGCTCGGGGCACTACAGGACGGGCCAGGCACAGGCAGAGCCCCGGTTTGCTCCTGGGGAGATTCAAACAGCTCAGCCCGCAGCTCTGGAAACCCATCGTAGCTGGAGGGGCAGAGAGGCAACGTCAGGGGCGGTCAGCACGCGGCTGGCCTGCGTGGCCTGGGAACCGGTGCGGGCGCCAGGGGCTCTCACCAGTACTGGGGAGTGGGCTCGCTGCCCTCTGGCACCGGGGGCTCCTCCGGAGGCGTGATGAAGACCGTGAGCTCGCTCCCCGACAGCTCCTCCAGCTCCACCAAGGGCGTCGGCTCTGGCTTCTCCTGCTCCGGGTGGACCTGGGGCGGGACGGGGCGAGAGTGAGCAGCACGTGGGGCAGGGCCAGCGTGTCCAGGAGGTGGCAGGGGGCGTCTCCCAGGAAAGCACACCCCGCGGGAAGGAGCGAGTGCGCTGAGACATCACCAAGGTCCTGGGATACGACGGGGGGGGGGGGGGGGGGGGGGAGCGGCGTCGGGAATGGAGAGATGGGGTGGATGTAAGCCAGCCACGTGTGGTTACACAGGCTCTGCGCTGAGTCACCGCCATCACCGTCACGGACAAGACACAGAGCTGTGCTGATCGTGGCCCGGGGGTGGCCAGGAGGACAGCAGAGGGCAATGGGCACCAAGAGAAGGGACAACGCTCAAAACCTTATCCACGCAAGAGTCAAAGAACTCAAGGGCAGCGTGCCGAGCAGAGCCAAAGGAACACTCTTCGATGAACTGCGAGAACATCTGCGTGTGCAGCAGCTGCGAGTACAGCTTGTGGCTGGAGCGCTCCCGGGACTTGAGGAAACCTGAGGGCAGGGGGCGGGGCGGGGGAGGCGATCGCCTGGCTTCCCTCCACAGCCACCCCCTGGCGAAGCCCTCTCCCGGCCCCCTGCCCAGCCATGCTCCATCTCTTTGGCCCCTCTGACAGGACCCCACACTCCAAGCCGACTGGCTCAGCTCCCCAGCACCGTGACCCCGCAGAGGCCCTTTTGTCTGTGGGTACTCCCCCCCTCTCCCTGGGGCGTCTCCAGAGCAGGGTCCCTGAAGGGAGATCTGCCCCCCGGGGGCGCCTCACCACAGGCCTCCCCGTGCCCACCCCAAACCCAAGGCCCCAGAGGGCAGGCCAGCTGGCCCCTCTCTGTGCCCTGACTCCCTCCAAGCCCAAAGGGGTGTACGGCTCAAAGCAGGTGCCGTAAAGATGCCTGCCCCCAGCCGTCCTGCCCCAGCAGACAGGCCCTCACCCTGCAGGTAGAACAGGTTGTCCACGTCGCGTGCCCCCTCGGAGGGCGCCGTGGTGAGCGGGCGCAGGAAGTCCCGGTAGCCCTTGAGCAGACAGGCCATGAAGCGGAGGAAGGCGCCCTGGACTTCGCGCTCCAGCCGGTCCCGGCGGCCACACACAGCCTCGTAGTCCGTCAGCAGGAACTCCAGGGACGCCTCCTCCTCAGGCCCGGTGTACGCTGCGGACCAGGGCGGCCTGAGACTGAGAGCCAGCCCTCCAGGGCCAGTCCCGCCCCCCTCGGCACCGCTGCCGGCTGCCTCCAGCTGGTAAATGACTTTGCACCAATATGGCCTGAAGAGTTAGTTACCCTGAGGCACGTTACATGCCTCCCCAGCGATCAGCCCGTGTCCTTCTCAATCCATCCAGGAACACAACATGATAACATTCCTCCCTCTTGCTTAGGTTTTCCTCACTCCCACCAACTGAAGCCCTCCCTCCTCGAACCCCCTCAGGTAAGGCCTGGCTGCTCACAGGCCTGCCCGGCCTGGGGCTTAAGGCCAACGACAGTCTCCCGCCTCCCACCCAGGCTTCTCACTCTGATCCAGCTGCTGATACAGGGTGGTCAGTGTGGCCAGCAGAACCTTGTAGGGCCTGCGGGGCAGGGCCCGAGGGGTGAGGGGCTTCTTTTCCTCCGTCCTAGGAGAGAAGCGCAAGGAAGAAAAGGCCGTGGGGCTCCCTGCCAGGCTCCCCGACTTGGCCCGGGGAGGCCCCTTTGGCACAGAGGTGGCCCTCCGTACACCTGCCCGCAGCCCCTCCCCGCAGCCCCCGAGCGAGACCAGCGTCTTACTGGAAGAGCGTGTTGGTGTCCAGATCCACACAGATGACGTCAGGAGGGGGGTCGTGCAGGTCAAAGTAGCTGGAGTGGATGCCCACGATGAAGGGCACGGGGGCGCTCAGCACATCAGCCAGCGCCAGCGGGCACACGGGGATGTAGGGGCACTGCCAGTGCAGCGGGAAGATCATCTGGAGCACCAGGGAGTGAGGAGCAGTGAGCAGGGGGGTGGGGGTGGGGCAGCTGGGGGGCGGGAGGGTCCCTAGCTTCTGGGTGGTGCCTGTGGGCACTGTGGAGGGTGGGCTGGAGGAGAGCCCCTGGTGAGAGCTGAATGTCCCTGGAGACTGTGCCAGAGGAGAAGACTGGGGAACCCCCCCCCAGGGAATAGTCCGGGAGGGACGGGGTCCCCTGGAAGAACGTTCCGGGGAGGGGGGCCACTCACAGAGACGAGGGCCTCGCAGACGCTGGTGAGCAGGTCCGGCCGCAGCGAGTGGACCAGCAGTTTGTGCTCCGTGAGCACGGCCAGCAGCAACGTGACGGCCAGCTCGGGGCCCAGGTTCTGCAGCAGCTGCAGGAAGCTGGCACCGCTGTGGGTCACACCAATGTGTGCGTGGGGGGGCGGGCAAGTCACCAGGAGACCCTTTCCTAGTCACTGGGCACAGACACCGCCTGGGCCCAGCCTGCACAGACCTCAACAGCTACACCCACCTGCCTGGCACCTACCGTGTCCTTGGACATCAACCCTCTCCCCTAATTTGGACACATACCTGAGGGGCAGGGGGGAGGATACAGGCTGGCAGAGGAGCAGGTTGTCATGGGGAGACATCTGGGGGGCAGAAGAGCCGTGGGTCAGGATAACGGAGGCTGGCCCCTGCCCCCCTCCCGCCCGGCCCCGGCCTGGCCTCGGCCCTCACCTGCACCAGGATGCGGGGTCTCTGCGGGGACGGGAAGGGGACGCTGTGAATGAAGTGGGAGATGTGCCTGGGGGGGGGGGGAGGGAAAGAGTACGCGGGTCAGAGACGGGGTCCCCAGTCTACCTCCTTCCCGCCATCACCTTCCCTCTCCTCAGCCACCCGGCCCCCAGAGCCTTCCTCCTCCCTGGCCTCGCCTGGAGCCACGTCAGCCATCAGAGCAGCCAATGGACAGAACGTCCCCCCAAAATGTATACACACTTTGACAGCTGATAGCTCCGTTTTGAAATGAAATGTATTTGAACGAACACCGCCTTTATAAGGATCCAAAGTGTGTGCAGACATTTTGGGGACGCCCTATAGATAGAGTTCATACAGACAAGAAAAGAGACCCCTCCGAGCATGCGAGCCCCTTAGCTAGCAAGTGTAGCTCCCCCTTAGCCAGTGGCACTTTGCAATGTGTGTACAATCACACACGACAGCCCTGATCCCCACTCCTCTGCCCACCTCCCCCCGCCCCCATTCTGCTCCATCCTAATCTCTCCCATCCCTCCTGGCCTGATCCCCTCAGACCCCTTCCCAGTGCCAGGGGGGCCATGCTCACGCTTCGAGGGGCAGGCGGTGGGGGCCGGAGACGGAGTAGCGGTAGAGGAAGGTGAGGAAGGCGCGGAAGGCGGGGAAGGCGGGCCAGCGGGACAGCACGGCGATGGCGCGCCGGCTGCGCACCGCCCGGCCCCCCAGCGCCCGGCCCCGCTCCACGGCGCTCAGCAGGCCCAGCGCCCGCGACTGCCGCTCCGACAGCCTGGCCCGGGGGAACGCCTCGTAGAACTGCAGGGCAGCGCCGTACACCTGGCGGGGGGCAGGGGGGGCGGTCAGGTGGGCCCTGCACAGCCCGGACCCCGTCCCGCACCCCACACACCCACCTTGTTACCCGCTGCGCCCGTCAGCACGAAGGTGGAGAAGACGGGCACAGGGTACTTGGTCTGGGCAGGCCAGCACTCGATGGTGGCCCCCATGGGCAGGCAGAAGACGGGCACGGACTCAGGCAGCGGAAACGCCTCGTTGTCCTCCTCCGGGTAGCGGCCCAGCAGCTCTGCACCCGGGACGGAGTGGGGGGCGCCCAAAAGGAGGAGGGTCCATCAGGCTCCAGGGGGAGGCACAGGGGGGAAGGGCCACATGGCGAAGGGGAGTCCCAGGGACAGTGAAGTGACAGCCAAGAGGCAGCAGGGCAGAGGGCCACGGAGGGCCACGGGGTCAGAGGGACAAAGGGCCGCTCACCTGCCTCATACACCAGCGTGTTGGCCTTGGCCAGGCCCACCTTGTAGCACAGGTACACCGCCGGGCCCCACTGCCCGAGAGAGAGCGCGAGACAAGCAGATACACACCAACAAAGGTTTCTCCGCCACCCCTCCGCAGTCTCCCGTCTTTAGAATCCCCACCCAACCCGGTCCCCCAAGACCAGAGTCCACTCTGGGGCGCGGGCCCGCCATCAGAGGCCTTAGGCCGAGCATGCATGCCCTGTGTGCCCAGTGCCCGCACCCTCATGCCAAAGCAGTGCAGGTTTCAGCCCCGGGCCCGAGCCCCACTCACCATGCCGGGGTTGAGGTTGCGGGGCAGTCGGCAGTAAGTGTGCGGAGTGCCCTCACCCTTGCTGGGCAGCACCAGGCAGAGGTCGGTGATGCCCAAGGCATGCAGCCCTGCCCCCTCCGCTGCCCGCCGGTAAGTGAGGTAGGTGCGGGGGTGCCCGGGGCCTGGAGGGGCCAGGTTGGCAGAGTGGCTGTAGGGTGTCGTGTCTAGGACTTGGAAGCCGGGCTTGGGACGCTCCTTCCCCTCATATAACACCCTTGGCACAGAGAACGGAGAGAGGTGTCGAGCTCAGGGCAGAGGAGAGAGACCCCCGTCCTGCCAGGTCCACCTACGCAGTCCTACCTGTCTGCCCCCTAAACCCGACCCCGGGGCTCACTCACTGCTGCCCCCTGCCCCCGAGGACCCCAGGCCTCTCTTCTGCCCTTGTCTCTTCTTCCCCATCAGCAACAACCCCTCAGGCTTTCCAAGGCTCCCCTAGCCATTAACAAATGCTAAGAAGCCAAGACCGGTTTAGCCCAGTGGATAGAGCATCGGTCTGCGGACTGAGGGGTCCCAGGGTCAATTCCGGTCAAGGGCATGTACCTTGGTTGCGGGCACATCCCCAGTAGGAGTTGTGCAGGAGGCAGTGGGTCGATGTTTCTCTCATCATCGATGTTTCTAGTTCTCTATCCCTCTCCCTATCTACTCTGTAAAAAGCCAATAAAATATATTAATAAATAACTAAATAAATAAATGCTAAGAAAAAAGTTGCCATTTTCGGACTCTGTGCTAAGTCCCTTCCATGGATGACCTCATTCAATCTTCTCCGCCACCCTCTGCGGAGGCATAATTTCCCCCACTTCATTATACATGAGGGACGGCCAGCGGGGCTCACACCCTGCCCGAGATCACACAGCTGGCACGTGGCAACATTAGTACAAGGACCCAAACCGGGGTGAGGCCTAAGTGAATAAAAAGCTCAGTCCCTTCTCTCCGGCCCCTGGCCAGCCCACTGTCTTCCCGTTCCCATTCCCTATCCCTCATCCCTGCCGCTCCCTGCCTCGCCCCTCACAGTCCCTCCCAGTCCCCCCTGGTGCCAGCGTGGGCGGGCACCCACCCTAGCTCCACGAGGGGCGGCTTGTCGCGGCCCCTGCGGTAGCAGATGACAGGCTGAGTTCCACTCAGGAGCCCAGCGCTGAGCTCCAAGGGGTGGCCCCCCACCGAGGCCTGGATGCACGTGTAGCCCTGGGGCACCTCCTCGCCCAGCGCCCTGGCGATGACTGCCACGTCGGTGATGGGCTCCGCCGGCCGGGACAGGCGCAGGGGCCCGCTGGCCTCAGGCACCCACGTGTCCTCAGGAATGGGTGCTCCGCCCCCCGGGAGCCCGGCTATCACGAAGTAATCCACCAGCCGGGGGGGCCGCTCCTCCGCCATGGCCCCCCCCTCACTCACTGCATCTGCAATGGTCAAGGAAGGCTGGTGTTGCCGTGGCAACCGGGGTGCCTCCCCACCCACCCAACTTGCTTCCCTCCTCTTCCTAGCCCCTTCAAGGAAAGGCAGGATCAGTGGTCAGCCAATCCTGGACTCTCCCGCCTATGACATCACCAGGCCTTCGGAGCCCTTCCACAGCTTCTTAAAGAGAACAGGACCCAAACTCCACTCCACCACACACAGCCAACGTGGGCTCTGACATCATGTTGTTCCTCTATCCCTTTTAAAGACCCCTCCCCGCTGAAACCGGTCTGGCTCAGTGGATAGAGAATCGGCCTGAGGGACTGAAAGGTTCCAGGTTTGATTCCCGCCAATGGCATGTACATTGGTTGCGGGCACATCCCCAGTAGGGGTTGTGCAAGAGGCAGCTGATCGATGATCCTCTCTCATTGATGTTTCTAACTCTCTATCCCTCTCCCTTCCTCTCTGCAAAAAATCAGTAAAATATATATATTTTTTAAAAGACCCCTCCCCTCCTCAGCCCATACCCATACCGAGTTATAATAAATAGGTCAGTCTTTTCTGTAGTGGCCTGCAATGACATCATTCATTTTGGCCCTGACATCATGCCAATCTTACAGGGTTTTTTTTTTTTTTTTAGAGTTTTTTAGCTCCTTGACTCTAGTTATGACATCCTAAGAACCACATGAGCCGGTTCATGTTCTTAAAGAACCCACATCTAGACCTTGGGAGCGCCCAAGTGTCCAGAAAACCCACAGAACCCAAGCGTTAGAGTCCTTCCACCAGGCTCACGTGTCCTTTCTCCTCACCTAACTCCACTAAGCTGACAAAAAAACAAAAACAAAACAAAACAAAACAAAAAACAAACAAACAGGGCCCGCCCCCCTCCAGGATCCTCAGGTTATGGCCAGGGAGGACAGAGGCAGCTGTGGGAAACAGTCCCGGCGCCCCCAGGCCCTCCTCCAGGAAGCCCCAAACTAGGCCCACCGCAGTCTCCGGGAACTGGGTCTCACCTGCCTCCATGGCCAACCCCCGGGAGCCCAAGGGCCCTGGGGAGCCCCGAGGCGCAGAAGCCAGGGAAGAGCTGGGTGGGTGGCTTGCGGCAGAGGGCAGGAGGAATGGGGGTGCTTCGGAGGGGAAGGGAAATAACTTCCTGGAACCGTGGAGGGGAAGCTGTAGCTCAGCCCAGCTCAGCGGAAGTCGGCCCATGGGCGTGTGTTGGGGGAGGCGGGGGTACCAGGGAAGGCGCCAAAACTGCATCATGCCGAGCGTCACCTCGGACTGATGGGCCCCCAGCGAAGAAGGGGAGACTCAGCGTGGCTCCAGGATGCCCAGTCCTACTCAACCTCAGAGAACTCTGAGGAGCAAGGGAATCTCATGAGGCCAGGTTGGCCTTCTCCTCAATATGGCTGCTGGACACACACACACACACACACCTCCAGCTAAATTTAGCCTCCATGTCTGGAAGGTGAAGCCAGGAGTCAGTGTCAGAGGCCTAATTTAGCTCTGGGCACAACCGCATCCCTCAGCCACTGCAGGCGAAAGGGCGCCCTGTGCCCCCGGGGGGGGGGGGCGGGCAGGAGCCCTTAGGTGGGTGGCCCCGACCCGCAGGATCTGCTCCTGGAGCCTCCCTCACCCGGCCAGGGAGCACCCTGCACAAGGCAGCGCCTGCCGCCTGGGGAAGAAGGCCAGGGGCACGGGCCCCACTCGGGGTCCCAGCGCCCGCACACCAGGCGATGGGGACCTGGGCTGGGGCGGCGGGCAGGTGGAGCCGAGGAAGGGGCAGGAGCACCGGGGACAGGGGCAGGGGCAGGTGCACCAGCCGCAGGGGACGTGACAGCAGCAGCAGCAGCAGCAGCGCCGCGTGACCTGAGCCGGAGGGAGGGGTGCTCTGGCTGAGGACCCGCAGGAGCAACGGGGGTGCAGGGCGCGGGGCGCCGGCAGCGAACTCCCCTCCACTTTCACTTCCCCAGGAGAGAGGAACCGGAACCAGATGTGCCACGCCAGGGAACAGCTGGGGGACCTCCTCCCGCCCAGCACCCCCTCCCTTCCTTCCCCGCCCGCCCGCCCCCCGCTCCGTCCGGCCCCTACCTGCCTGCCCTGCGACTCCCTGGCCGGCCGGCCCGCGGCGGCGGCGGGGAGAGTGGGCTGGCGGGCCGGCGGGCGGGCGGGCGGTGGGCTACCCGGCCCCGGGCATGGCGCACCCGACTTGGGCGCCACTCCCTCCCGGGAGGGAGGCGAGGGGAGGAAGGAGCGGCAGCCCGCGGGGCGCGGTGGAGGGAGATCCCGGCGCTGCCTACGTCCCCCAAGCGCTGCGCCACGCAGGGCACCGTGCTGCCCTGCAGCTCACTCGGGCGTGCGCTCCTCCGGGCTCCCGCTGGCTGGAGGCGGGGTGCTCCTCCGAGTGTCCCGCTTTCGCCGCTTCCCCACACCCCCACGGGGACGGTGGGCGCAGCTGCTCCCCTCCTCCCCCCCTACACGCCCTCCCGGGCCTGTGGCCGTGACCCTGGCGGCGCCTGCCCAGCGCCCGCCCAGCGCCCATCCAGCGCCCAGCGGCCTGCAGGGCGACCCCTGGCGGCTGGGAGGGCCCCTTGCACCCAAGCAGCTTCTCACCAGCTCAAACGATGATGCTGCAGGACACTAACTCCGCGGCCCTTCAAGTCCAAGGCGATCCTAGTCAGCTATGCAAGCAGGGCCCTGAAGGCCTAGGCAGCGACACCCAGGTGGCTGCCCCTACTTCTAGGTTTAGGGCACGTTGTAGTCCCTTCTCGCCTAAGCCAGAGCTCTCAGTTCTCTTTTCTGAAAACGACAAAGCTTTGAAAAGAGGAAGAGGGAAGACCAGGAATGCAGGGTGTGAGGAGAGTAGTAGAGGTGAGGGTAACTGAGGAGGGACATGACCCTCTGACTTGGCTGGGAGTGGAAGAGAAGAGGAGAAGAGACTATGAAGGTCAGAGGGCTAGCAGCAGCCCAAGCCAGAGAGAGGAAATCTCTTAGAACACAGCACTCAAGCATTTGTAGAATAAGTGTGGAGAGGGTGAATTCATGCCTACTGAGGGGGCAGAAATGAGACCTCAGAGCTTCCCTGAGACCTAGAAGCATGGGATCAGTCTAATTTCTTCTAAGCTTAAAGGGCCATAAAAAAGGGGGAGCTAACCCAAGACCCACATGGTGTCAGGATTTGAATCCTCTCTCCTAGGCAGCCTTAGCACTGAGGCCAGCTACTCCTGAAGCTGGAGTCCTTCAATCAGAAACATCAGACCTCTGAGTTCAGCCTGCAGTTGACTCCTCACTTCTACTGCCAGGCCACAGGGCTGAGGAAGTCAGAACTCGTCTCCTGAAGCTGTAGCAGGGCCCTGGACAGAGGGGAGGCACCTGTGCTGCCATGGAAGCCGAAATCCAGTCTGGACTCCCATGTCCAATGCTGGGTTCAAATCCTGATGCTGGCCCAGCTGGTGTGGCTCAGTGGTTGAGCACTGACCTATGAACTAGAAGGTTATGATACTACCGTGTTTCCCCAAAAATAAGACATCCTCCGAAAATAAGACATAGCGCATGGAAAGATAAGACATCCCCTGAAAATAAGACCTAGCGCAACTTTGGGAGAAAAAATTGGTATAAGACACTGTCTCTTTTTCGGGGAAACAGGGTATTCCCAGAGTACATGTCCTGGTTGCAGGCTCGAACCCCAATAGGGGGTGTGCAGAAGGCAGCCAATCAATGATTCTCTCATCATTCATGTGTCTCTCTCTCCCTTCCTCTCTGAAATCAATTAAAAAATATTTTTTTAAAAATTCTGACACTGTGGTGACCGTTCCCAGCGCTGGCTGCATTTGTTACTGTCTGGTGCAGCCACAGGCAGTCACACACAGCAAGACATGGTTCGTGCGACGGGGTCTGTCTAGCCATCAGATCTCCTGTGCAATGGCTCCGTACATGTAAAAAAAAAAAAAAAAAAAAAAAAAAAAAAAAATTCTGACACTGGAGGTGGGTCTCAAGGGCGGAGGCCTCCCACAAACCACAATGCTGCTCAGATGTAAAGAGCATAACAGATGGCACAGCCCTGGCTGGTAAGTAGTGGTTAGAGGTCTTGGATTCAATTTCTGGTTAAGGGCACATAGTTACAGGTTCAATCCCCGGCCCCAGTCAAGGTGTATACAGGAGGCAACCAATCAATGTGTTGCTCTTGTATCCATGTTTCTCTCTTTCTCTCTCTTCCTTCCCTCCCTTCTACTCGAAAAACCAATGGGAAAAATATTCTCGGGTGAGGATTAACAACAAAAAAGCACGACAGATGAAAAGGTCGGTGCCCCAGGGATTCCCTAGTTCCCCAGCCACATCCCAAACAGTAGACAAACACACCAAGGGTTTGATATGGTTTTTTTATTAACATATAATATATTTAATAAAAAATAATATCCACTCTGGCTCTCTCCTCCAATGCAAGGGGAAGAGTGGTGAGGAGGGGCTGGCACTGCCCACCCCTGGGCATCCAGAACTAGCCTTGCCTCTGGGGCTCCCTCTACCCCCTGCTTTCCAACAGGCTCTGACCTCCAGACAGACGGTTCAAAGTTACAAGTGCTTTAGACCCTCCCTTGAGCTCCCGCAGGCCTACCCCTGTGCAGAATTCAGGGGCCACCTGGATAAACCCCTTGCTTTTCCTCATTCGTGGGATCCCTCATTCATGTTAGAAAGAGGATCTGGGGGCAGAGAGTTGAGTCTCTACTGGCCAGGGGGGAGGGAGGACAGGGACAGTGATGGGGAACAGGCCAGTCAGAGGGATGGTGGCGCGTCCCCTCACTGTAGCCTGTCACTGCGGAATGAATCCTCCACAGCAGGATCAGGCAGCAGGGCACAGGGGTCGCTCAGCATGTTGAGCCCTTCCAGGCCCAGTGGCTCCATGCGCAGCTCCTCCTCCAGCCCCAGCCCCAACTCCAACCCAGCGGCGGACACCTCGAAGCCAGGCACCCCGGAGAGGGCCGCTGCGATCTCCTTAGAGAAGCCTGGGGAGGAGTCTCCTGTGTGGACAGAAGAAATGGGTGAGGATCCCCTAATCTCCTGCTGGCCACCCCCACGGCCACCCACACTGCTCACCTGTGAGGATGATGTTAGGCCCTGAGCCATGGCGGGAACAATGGGTCAAGTTCTGGTGGTTGAGGGCATGGGGGTCCTGGAAGCCACTCACTGATCCCTCACCCCCTAAAAATCCAGACCCCTCAGAAAAGCCGGTGGGATCCAGCGCCAGGCTGGATGACGAACTCCCCATGCTGAACTGCTCCAGCTATGGACACAGAGAGAAACCTTGAGGAAGTGGGTCTCAGGACAGGGGTACCTGCCTGCCACCGCTTAGCCCTGCTGATACATCCCTTTCCCCACCAACCCCCCACCCCCACCCCGAACAAAAGCAGAGACAGGAGATGGCAGCAAGCAGAGCGACAGAGGCGAGCACGGGCCCCAAGGATCTGTGGGCACCGTACCTGCTGGGACAGAGCCTGCGCGTGCCAGGAAGAGAAGGAGTCAAAGCAGTAGTCATCAAAGAGCAAGCTGTGCAGAGATAGCTAGGGGGAAGGGATAGGAAAGGGTCAGCTGCAGGAGAGGAGCCCCAAGTTGGCAGTGCCATACTCCCTGGAGGAAGATCTCCCAACTCACACAGCACCAATGACACCACTCAGGCCCCTCTGGTCCACGCCCACTCCCTCCCCTGAATTCGGAGCTGAGAACCTGGTACTCACATTCCCCAGGCTGAAGTCACTCACTGGCCGGTGGTAAGACTGCTGCCCATGCCCACTGGAGCCGGGAGGGTACAGTGTCCCATAGTGTAGCTGCCTGCCTGGGGGCTGCCCGCCTGAGGGCTGCACCGAGCAGGCCTGAGAGGGCAGCCCTGGCTGCTGTAGAGGCTTTGGGGTGGATGGCTGGGCGGGCAGAACCAGATTTGAGTGGCTGTATGGGTATGAAGGCAGCCGCTGGTCAGTGGGCAGTTTACTGATATCCAGGGGGACGCCCTAAAGAGAAGCGAGGAAAAAGGGGGAAGCGTACCTTTCAGTGTGTCCCCAGGAGGAACTCTTAGGGCTTCCCACCCTTAGAAACTGCAACCATCCTCAACACAAACCTGACAACGTTCCCATGGAGATCCCCGGGATTAGGTGCAATTACACAAAACTGCTTATCAGAATAAAGCAATGGAGTGAGGCTAATGTAAGAATAATTTTAAAACTAGTCCAGAAGTAAACTATTAAACCTTGGTGCTTTAATGATTATTAGTAATCAAACATTTGTGACACTCCTAACAAGTTGCTTGACAGCACAACAGGAAACTTGAGAACTGCCATTCTAAAGTCTCGGCAAGGCCAGAGGGAATGAGAGAGGAAGGACGGAAGGAAGGAAGAAGGCAGATTCGCTCCAGGGTTTAAGAGAACACAGCCCTGGCTGGCCCGGATCTCAGGCTTTCCTACAGAAAGGGGACTACAGCAGATGGAACACAGCACACACATTCCAGGGAAGGGGAATGCAGGAGGAGGAGAAAGTAGAGCAGAGGCAAGGGAAAGAAGAGCATTGGGGTGGAAGGAAAGGGGTACAGAGAAAGTTTAAAAAAAAAAAAAAAAAAAAAGGGAGGAGGGAGGGCTGAGAATCTTAGCACTGAGGAAAGCCCTGAACTAAGGGTTTTTATTTTTTATTTAAAAAAAAAATAAATATATATATATTAAAGAAAGGAAGAGGGATATATATATATATATATATATATATTTTTTTTTTTTTTTTTTTGAGAGAAAGAAAGAGGGATAGAGAGCTAGAAACCTCAATGAGAGAGAAACATTGATCAGCTGCCTCCTGCACACCCCCTACTGGGGATGTACCCGCAACCAAGGCACATGCCCTTGACCAGAATGGAACCTGGGACCTTCCAGTCCGCAGGATGACGTTCTATCCACTGAGCCAAACTGGTTTCGGCTTGAACTAAGGGTTTTTAGTTCTAGTCCCAACTCCTCCTAACGTGCTGTGTACATTTGGGAAAGTCATTTTCCCTCTGGCCCCAATCTCCACAGCTATACAATGAAAGGATTAGGCTCCATGGTCTGAGCATCTCTTTGTTTATGGAATCTAGAAAAGGAAGAAGGGAGATGGGAGAAGGGATGAAACAGGATGGAGGCATGAGGAAAAAAAAACAGACACGAAAAGAAGGATAGGAACAGAAAAGAGAGAAAGGCTCATCTGTCAAGCCTGCAGCTGGGTTCGGCATGGTGCTGAGCACTCTACATACATGATTCCCTTTGACTCTCACAATCTCATCCTGTCCTATAGATGAGAATGCTGGCACTTGTAGAAATTAAACAACTGTCCAAGGAGACTACGTTAGAGTAGGGTTTGAATCAGAAAGCTTAACCCCAAGGTTTCCACTCTTTAGCCAAGAGGAGACAAGACAGATGAAAGATGGGGCAGTAGCCCAGCCAGCGTGGCTCAGTGGTTGAGTGTGGACCTGTGAACCGGGAGGTCGAGGTTCAAGTCCTGGTAGGGGCACATGCACAGGTTGCAGGCTCAGTACCCAGTTGGGGGGGGAGGGGAGAAGGAGACAGCTGATCAATGATGCTCTCTCATCATTGATGTTTCTCTCTCTCTCCCCCTCTCCCTTCTTCCCTGAAATCAATAAAA